GGCTTCTGTCGAGTCCCAGGTTGAGGCTGGAACCCTCAGGTCCTACAAAGTCAGTCTAGGCTCAGAACTACAGCTGAAAAGAACCAAGGAGTTGCCAAGACATGCACAGACTTGGAAAAACCAAAGCACACATAGACCGCTGTTGCTCCCAGAACCTTTCTCTTTGAGCTCAGGTCCCCACTCCATCAACAGGGTGTTTAAGTGACCAGTGTCTCTCTTTCCCACCTCCCCCCTCAGGAGGAGAAAGAGGAGGAAGAAGATGCTAATTATGACAAGTGGGTAGCCCACCACAAGACACCTCATGCCCTGGTTTCTATAGAAACTCTAGTCCTTCTCTCACCTTTCAACACATCTCTGTGTCCCAACAAACTATTCCTGGAGATGTGGTTGGCTCTGATCTGTACCACCATTGCTCCTCTGCTCTCCCAGCAAGCGCTGCCTGATAACGCGCCGGTTGGGTAATGATAGCCGCCGTGCGCTGTGTGTGCCAAGATTTGTTCCAGCAAATCTTCACTTCCATCCTGTGAGGCTGTCACCCATTTTCAGAGGCGGCAGCACAGAGAGCAAGCTGGCCGTGTCCACTCTGAATTACAGGAATCAGAGGAGCCTTGGTTCCAGGTCTCACACGGACACCAACACCTGTGGATGCTGAAGCCCCTTAGGGAAAATGCCCTGATAGCTTCAAAGAAGCCGAACATGTCCTCCAGGTGACTTACCATGCCCAAGACAGTGTCTCATACACAGCTGTTGGCCTGCATTGTTTGTAGAACACTAAGAATAGAATCTGTACGTGGGCCTGTCATCCTAAGTACTCAGGAGGCTGAGCTCTGAGGCTTGAGGTTTAAAGCAAGCCTGGGTAGGAAACTCTAGGAGACTCTTATCTCCAGGTAGCCAGCAAAAAGGTGGAAGTGGAGGTGTGACACAAATGGTAGAGCACCAGCGTTGAATGAAAAAAACTAAGGGACAGCACTCAGGCCCTAAGTTCAAAGCTCCACACACATCTGTACATGCTTAGTACAGATGCAAGTTCTCACAATTGGTTGAATCTGAGGTTGCCAAGGCTAACTTTTAGTTTCCTTGGGCTGCCTTGACAAAGCGCCTGCCTGGGCAGCTTAAATCCCAGGAAGCCATTGTGTCCTTGTTCTGAATGGCGAAGGATCAACATCCAGGTGTCCTGTCCAATAGGCAGGGCTGAGGGCTGAGAGCCATGCATGTCTCTCTCCTTCACCTGTCAATGGCTTCACTTCCAATCCCTTCTTTTCTCTCCCCTCCCCTCTCCTTCCCTTCCCTTAGTTCTTCCCCTTGTGCATTTCCATCTCTGTGTCCAAACTTCCCGTTGAAAATGGGCCCTGATCATCTTGGATTGGGGCCATGTTCATGACTGTCCTTCTACCTGATTACTTTTGTTAAGGACTCTGTCTCCAAATCAGATCACATTCTGAGGTACTGAGCTAGAACTGCCGCAAATCTTTCTTGGCAGGGAAGAGGGACCCCATTCAGCCTGTACTAAGTGTAGTCTGACAGGCCTGGGCCGGTCTTCCAGATCTACCACTTACTCACATTCAACCTCAGTGTCCTTATTTACCAATGCCAATCCTATAGGTGGCTGTGTGGGGCTTAAAGGAGATTTTGGCTCAACCAGTCTTTGCTTATTACTAAAGAAGGGAGCAGAGATTGAGGGTCCCCTTCACTCCACTCCGGTCACTCAATTCATCTGAGCTCACTTGTGACTACCGTGGGCTGCCATCAGACCGTGCATGCGCAAAGCTCACCTTACCAAGCCCACGTGCCTCTTTCTCTGCCCAGGGAGACTGATTGAGATGCTTGCTCAACCCACACAGATTCATCCTGCAGGGCATGCACTCCACATCTCCAGCCTTCAAGCCATGAAAGAAGGGGGCTGCGGGATCAAACTCCAGCTTCCCACAAAGCTTTTCTTCCTTCCTTGACTTTTACTTCTGCTTCTCCCAATAAGCTATCTGCACCCAAGCCCTGCTCTCTTCAGGGTCTTATTTTGAGGGGTCTGACAAGGAAATGAAGGCTTTGAGGTACTGTGTGGTTGGTTCAAGGGTACCAGGTTAAGGCATGATGGGCCCAGGATTTGAACTATGGTGTTTTAAGCCAAACTACAAAGCCACATCTCTCTTCCTAATGCCTGTTGTACATCTATACTAGCTTATAGTTTTTGTCCTCCCAGGCCTGGGTGTAATCCCTGAGCTTTTTTTTTTTTTTTTTTTGTCGGTCATGGGGCTTGAACTCTGGGCCTGGGCGCTGTCCCTCAGTTCTTCAGCTCAAGGCGAGCGCTCTACCATTTGAGCTACAGCGCCACTTCCGGTTTTCTGGTGGTTTATTGGAGATAGGAGTCTCCCGGTCTCTCCTGCCCAGGCTGGCTTTGAACCTCGATCCTCAGATCTCAGCCTCCTGAGTAGCTAGGATTACAGGCGTGAGCCACCAGCACCGGGCTTATCCCTGAACTTTTTCACTCAAGGCTAGTGCTCTATTACTTGAACCCCCAGCTCTACTTCTGGTTTTTTGGTGGTTAACTGGGGATTAAGAGTCTCAGACTTTCTTTGCTGGTTGGCTTTGAAATGTTGGGGGCTAAGGCAAGAGAATTGTAAGTCCAAGGCCAATCTGGGCTATACAGGGAGATGCAGGCCAGTCTGAGACCAAGGTGTCTCAAAAACAAAAACAAAAAAGACAAAACAATAACAACAACAACAGGATGGGAAAATTTAAACTGAGATTTAATATGACTTGCTGTCTAGCAAGCACAGGTCCTTCTCCACAAAAGAAAAAAAAATAAGTGAACAGAATAAAGGAAAGGAAAAGAAAGGGAAGGGGAGGGGAGAGAAGATTTGGACATAGTTGGCTGCTGGTAGGGAAAAGATGGAGTGAGAAATGAAGCTTTATGGTCTCACTGAATCCCTAGATTCAGCTATGCCTGAAGCCCAAACTGTATGCTTAAACAAGTTTGCATCAATGTTCTGTTGCTTACAACTGAAGAGACATAACCTAAACCCTTGCCTTCTCTTGCTATGGTCCTTTGACCACCAGTGGGCCAACATGACTGGGTGTCCATCTGTATTACGACAGCAGGTTACATTTTCCAAAGACAGTGGTGCTATATTCTATTTGTCCCACAAGCTTTTCCTAAAACATCACTGCCTCTCCTTCTGGATGGTCCCCCTAAGGTTCAGCAGAGGGTTTGCGATTGCTCTGACCAAGGAGATACGATAGCAACGAGTCTGTGTAACTTGTACAGACAAAGCATGGAAAGCATGATGGATTTCTTGCTCTGGGGTTATTGTCTTTGGAACCCTGCCAACATGTTATATGCTGTGAGGTAGCCCAAACTGACAGCTGCTCCAACCACCCCATGTGAGTGGGAACAATCCTTCCCAGGGCCCCTCGTGCCGGCCCTCAGGTGCTCCAGGTGAGGCCCTAGGTATTGTGGAGCAGAGCTGAGCCATTCCAGCTGAATCTGGCCTAAATTACTGACTCACAAAACCCACGAGTATAATAAACATGTCTGCTCTGCTTTGAGTAGCTTCTTAGGCAGCAGTGGCAAGCAGCAAAGCCTCCCCCATCTTTATGTCATGAAGAAAAAGAAGATAACACAAGTGCATGGCACAAATAAATAATCTTTAATTTCAATAAATAGCTCCCTAGCACACCAGACAATACACTGTGGAGAAAGACACAGAATCATCCATCGGGAAAAGAGAGCTCTATTGTTCCTACACTAAGGTCTTGGCACGTGAGACACGACTGGTTCACACACAAACACAGAATGAGCCTCAGAGTGTGATTGAGGAGGAAATCACCATGGACGGGGGTGGTAGCCATCTTAAACTGGGTGGCAAGGTTCTTGGTGGGTCACAGCCACCGTGATTCAGTCACTAAATGTTACTGTTGCCCGATCATACCCTATATACGCGATACAAACATATACATATATTATTGTTATCCAAGGTGGGGGTCTCTGACAGATGCGAGGACACTGGGTGAACTCTCACTGAACATTAGAGACAGAGAGAGAAGGGGGGCCCAAGGTGGAGATCCTAACTCCCCAGAGGACACACACGTTCATCTGTGATGGACACACACACACACACACACACACACACACGGGCATAAACATATGGCCCCACAGGGAGCCCCTGGATTGGAATAAGCTACCACAAAGACACATTCAGTTAAGCTGGGAGAAGTTTCTAACATTGGATTATTTTTTTTTTGTCACCATTTTGTTTCTCCACATAGTCTAATCTATTTAACACCGGTACTAAGGAGAAGACAAAGATACTTACACCTTTGGGGAAAGGTTTCAGGTGTGAAGACACCCCTGTTCAGAAGTTGCCCCGTTGGGGGTGTGTTTGGGGGCATGAGGGTCCAGGCCTCCCACAGACTGGCCAGACCCTTGGTAGAGTTAGTTAGTCCTTGGACAGTTCTCTTTGGGAGGCCGCCTTTCTGTGGCCTGCGGGTTGAAAGAGCATTTTAGGACAGGGGTGTGAGCATGAACAGACCCTGCAGACACATCCCACAGCAGAGCCCACCCAGCTCCATGACAGATGAATAGAGCTTCCAGAAAGTTCTCAGGTCTCCTTCAGTGAGGGTAGCCATTTTGTAGTCAATAGTTTCCTCAGAGAGGGCGGCCATTTTGTAGTCAATAGTTTCCTCAGAGAGGAAGGCCATCTTGTGGTCAATAGCTTTCTCTCAGTTCTGACAAGATGCAATGTATGTGGGGGGGGGGTGTACAAAGGAGTGTCTGGTGTTTGTGAGTTTGTGTGGTTGTATATATAGGTGTATCTACTGTGTATGTACACAGGAGTGTCTGGTATGTGAATAAGAGTGAGAGGGTGTGGACACAGGAGTGTCTGATGTGTGTGGGTGTGTTTGTATGATTGTGTGTATACAGGAGTATCTGCTGTGTGTGTTTGTATGATTGGGAATGTGTGTACACAGGAATGTCTGGTGTGTGTGTACACAGGAGTGTCTGGTGTGTGTGTACACAGGAGTGTCTGGTGTGTGTTTGTATGATCGTGTGTGTACACAGGAGAGTCTGGAGTATGGTTGTACACACGGCAGCGTCTATAATTGCACGTCTCCATTGACCAGGGAAGCTGCCCTCTCTGTGGCCTCAGGTCACCTCCAGGGAGGCCGGGGACACGCGATCACACTCGGCCCGGGACCGCAGGCTGTGCCACTGTTCCACGGCTGTGCGGTGGGTGTTCAGCATCCGCCGCCAGTGGTTGGATTCCGAGGGCCCGGATGAGTACTGGCCAATGACGATCCTTCCAATGAAGTCGTTGCTGCTCTTCACATTGTGGCCGAACACTGGGGAGGCAGGTGGAGAGGAGACGGGAGGAAGGAGGCCAGAGAGACAGAAGCTTTTAGTGTTTCTTTTCATGGTGAGAATCAGAAACCACCCCTCCCAATTCCCTCACCTCTGCCTCCCCAAGTCTTTGCAACTGCTGAATAGGGCACCTGCTGTCAATCTCTGTCTCTGTTTCTGTCTCTGTCTCTCTGTCTTTCTGTCTCTGTCTCTCTCTGTCTCTCTCTGTCTGTCTATCTGTCTCTGTCTCTCTCTCTCTGCCAGGGCCTGGGCATTGTTTCTGAGCATTTCTGCTCAAGGCTGGCACTCTACCACTTGGGACACAGTTCCACTTCTAGATTTGGGATGGTTAACTGGAGCTGGCTTCACACAGAGATCCTCAGATCTCAAACTCCACAGTAGCTGACAGTTGGGGAGCTACTGGCACGTGGCCTGCCTCTGGCCCTTACCATGCCAGCCACATTTCCCGACAGCCTCTGTCCTGCCCATGGCCAGGCCGCCCGCCACAGGCCTCACAGAGTAGGTCTCATTACCTCCCACATGGCACACAGATAGTCCTGGTAGAACAAGGAGCCGTCACTGCAGTCCAGCTCAGTGGGTCGGCCAGGGGCTCCCTGGGGTGGACGCCATGGGCTACATAATCCTCTGCTGTGCACTGGAGGATGTTTAGCAGCATCTCTGGGCTCTACCCACTAGATACTAATAGTGGGTCTTCCCTTCATATTGGACAGCGACGACTCACAAGTCTCCTAACACAGCTGACTGTCTCCTGGAAGGGGATAATGCGGCCCCATGAGAGCCGCTAGGTTTAAGCTATGGGACTCTCAAGCGAACAAAGTAAACTCTCTGAGCCTCAGTTTCCCGGTTGGTTAAAGAATTTTTCTTTTCTGGTCCTGAGGAACTGGGTGCTGTCCCTGAGCTTGTGTGCTCAAAGCTAGGGCTCTACCACTCGGAGCCACTCCAGCTTTTTGGTAGTTAATTGGACATAAGAGTGTCAGAGTCTTTCCTGCCCAGGCTGGCTTTGAACCACGATCCTCAGATCTCAGCCTCTTGAGTAGCTAGGATGACAGGTGTGAGCCTCTGATGCCTGACTTAAAGAAGATTCTTAATGAGGGAGTGTGAATAACACGGAAATGCACTGCATCCAGGGATGAAGGGGGCAGGAGAGTCTCACAGAAGCCACTGGATGCTGGGGGAGGGGCAGGGAAAGGGCAGCCCAGGGGGTTACTTTGACTAGCATATACTATAAACTCCCTTGGTATAACTTGCATACACTTAAAAATAAAATAAAAGAATGTTAGGGAAGTAAAAGGTGGTTGGAGGGAGAGAGGCATGGAGAAGATGCATAGGCTCCAGTACTTTATATACATGAATAATGTATATAGAACAATGAAACCTGTCGAAACTGGTTTAGTAAGAAGTGGGGGACAAAGAAGGGTGGTAAAAGGGGTAAGGATGACAGGATACAATGTATACATTATGAAGATAATGCAACGTGACCCTCATTGTATAATTAATACATGCCAATGAAAACCACGAGCAAAAAGAGGATTATTAGTAGAACTTATAATCAATGCAGAATCCATGGTACAGCTCTCAGGAAGCAGAGCCTAGTGAATGATGAGTACACAGTAAACACTGCCATTGCAATTCTATTTTTTTTTTTTTTTTGCCAGTACTGGGGTTTAAATGCAGGACCTGGGCACTGTCCCTGAGCTTCTTTTTGCTCAAGGCTACCACTCTACCACCTGAGCCTCAGTGCCACTTCCAGCTTTTTCTGTGATTAATTAGAGATAAAAGTCTCATGGGCTTCCTGCCCAGGGTGGCTTTGAACCACAATCTTCCAGATCTCAGCTTCCTGAGTAGTTTAGTATTACAGGCGTGAGCCACTGGCACCTGGCCTCCATTCTATATTTCTGTCTGTTGCCCTTCTATAAAAAGGAACTTCATCCTTCCTCCATTCCATGTAACAGAGGCAAGCTTGCTGAGGGAATGGCCGCGTGCTCCCCGCCCCTGGCTGTGTGGCATGTATCTCTTCAGAAGGCTTCTCTGTTCACTCCAATGCAAGCTTTGTTTCTGTCTTTCAAGCCTAATGAGATCGTTAGCTTGATTTATCTTCCTGGGCTAGTGCAGCCTCGTTCGTTATCTATGCATGGGTAGTCTAAGCGTGCCATCTCGCTAATGGGGATGCAGGCTGCGTCGGTTATAAATGAAGGACTACAGAATGGGAAACATCACAGATTCGCCCAGCGTGAGCTAAGCAAAGGCAGGCTGGATCCTAGGAGGGAGGCCGCTTCTCAAATACAACAGCAAAAATATGCAGCACCAAACAGAGCTTGAGCACTAACGAGACTCCTCCACTCTCCCCGGTGGGGTTCACACCAAGAATCCCAAGTGATAAAAAGAGGGGACAGAAAGAAAAGTGGAAGAAGAAACACAAGATCTCATTCCAACGCCAAAAATCAAAACCGACCCTAGGACAAATCAAACACGATGTCATCTCTCTCAAGGGTGTCTGGGAATGTGTCACCTCCACAAGGGAAAAAAAATGGACCATGTATAATGTTTTGGACATTCAGTAATGTGCTCATCAGGTGCAGGTGGACCTGGAGGACATGAGGATCTGACTAGCAATGGAATCTTTGCCTCATCAAGGAAATTACTGAATCAAGACTCAGAGAGAGTCTTTTGACCCATACCTAGTGCCTAATGTAAAGTGTGATCTTAACAAATGAGAGCAAGTTACCCGAGTCAGATCGGCCTTAAATCTAAAGCAAGATTAACAGCGTGGGACGATTTCAGGCTCCATTTGGTTTCATTCTCTTAGGCGAAATGTGCTGTTATCTCCTCCCCACCAAAACATGATCATGAGGGATGATGAGGACCAGAACTCTTGTATATGGACACGGGGCTTTGTGATCATTGGAAAACTGGAGATTGAAAGTAGTTCGTGTGATGTTCGTGGAGGACCAAGTGGTTCAATGTCTGGTATTGAACTTCTGCTCAAAATAAAAACAATGTGATTTTGCCAGGCACCAGCAGCTCACATCTGTAATCCCAGCTCCTCGGGAGGCTGAGATCTGGAGGACTGAGGTTTCAAAGTCAATCTGGGTAGAAGAGTCCACTAGAGTCCATCATCAAAATAACCAGCAAAAAGCAGGGCTGGGAAGGAGTGGCACAAGTAATAGAGGGCCAGCCAAGCAAGCAAGCCCAGGGATCACAAGGCTCTGAATTCAAGCACCAGTATCACCCAAATAACAACAAAACATGACAACTTGTGACCCAGAGCCTCTACTTCTAGATGCATCCTATTGAACTGTCTGCACAAAGACATACATACAAGGTTGTTTTATATAGCCAGAGTTGGCAGAGTAGTGCTTCCAAGCCAAACCTGGCCCCACCACTTCTTTTGTAAATAAAGTTTTATTAGAACACAATCAAACCAGCCGGGCGCTGGTGGCTCACACCTGTAATCCTAGCTACTCAGGAGGCTGAGATCTGAGGATTGCGGTTCAAAGCCAGCCCGGGCAGGAGAGACCATGAGACTCCTATCTCCAATAAACCACTAGAAAACCGGAAGTGGCACTGTAGCTCAAGTGGTAGAGTGCTCGCCTTGAGCTGAAGAGCTGAGGGACATCGCCCAGGCCCAGAGTTCAAGCCCCACGGCCAACCAAAAAAAAAAAAACAAACAAACAAACACAATCAAACCCACTTGTTTATCCCAATTCTGCTTCTGTGCTACAAGGCAGGGTTTATGTCTCAGACTGCTAGGTTGCTTTAACCAAATACCAAAAGCAAAGTGACTGGTTCTAGACTCTTGGAAGTCTAAGATCAAAGTAAATTTAGTGTCTGGTGAGGGCACTCTTTTTCATAGATGGCGTCTGCTCACTGTGTCCTCCAGGGAGGAAGAGACAAGCTAGCGCCCTGGGGCCCCATCCTGATAATGAGACCACCACTTGGGGGTCTTAGGCCTCCCACATCTGATTTGGGGAGATCGTTACCACTTACACCGTAGACATAATTTCTAGAGAAACCATATAGTCCTTGAAGGTTGAAGTTTTTGCCATCTGGTTATTCACAGGAAAGTTTGTCAGCCTGTTCTAGGGCGCACTGTTTGTAAGAAGGAAACCCTGGCACTGCCAAAACCCCCACGAGGCAGTGTGGCTGAGTGAGTCGCCTTCTCCCACCCCGAAGGTCATCACAGCTTCTGAGGATATCGTTCTACCTGAGCAACTCCCTGCTGGGGCAATGCCGGCTTGTCTATGTGCACAGTGTGCTTTCTGGTAGGGTGTCTTGGGCCACATCATAGTAGCTTGACCTCAGAGAGGGCTGGGGATGAGGGTCAGCCATGTCTGTGTGACTGACCCCCAGGCATCAAAGTTCAAGTGCCCATTCCCACAGTCAGCAGTACGCTTGAGTGTTGCATCTATCAATAACAGGAGAATTAGCCAGGTGGCTCACGCTTGTAATCCTAACTATGCAGGAGGCTGAGATCTGAGGGACTGTGGTTCAAATCCAGCAGGATTTGGGCAGGAAAGTCCGTGAGACTCTTATCTCCAAGTTACCGCCAGAAAATCAGAAGTAAAGCTGTGGCTCAAAGTGGTAGAATGCTAGCCTTGCGTGAAAAGGCTCAGGTACAGTGCCCAGGCCCTGAATTCAAGCCCCACCACCATATATATGGTAGAATTACACACTGTCCATTTAACTCCAGTAGAGGAGGACCACAGGACCTGGTGTCTCCCAGACTCTGCCCTGAGTACCTGTTTAGTTTATTTGGGCTGCTGTAACACATTACTTATCACAAACTAGGTGGGTTCTTACAGTTCTAGAGGCTGGGAAGTTAAAGGTCAAGTTGGCTAACATAGCCCATGTTAGCCTGGCCAGAGCTGTCTCTCTGTCTCTCTCTCTCTCTCTGCATCCAAGATGGCGCCCTCTTGCTGCAAGGCAGCTTTCTCTAAGGACATTAGCCCCATCAGGAGACTGGCGCTCCATGCCTGGTCAG